TTTTTTTTTTTTTTTTAATTCTTATAAGTATCTTATTTCCTGGACAATAATGGTGGTAATGTTCAAAAGCTTTTTGTTGCCAATGATTTAAAAATATCTGCACAGATGTTGAAAAAAATAAACACCCTGAGAATTATTCACTAGAGTAATGTGTGACAACTAGCCCTGGCTTCCCCTATAATGTTACTTATGACAATGATAATAAAAACCGCACACTGTAATATGCTTAATCACCTAAAAGAACAATCAAAAATAACTTAAGTCTAAAGCACTGTCAGAATTCTGAAGATAGGTCAGTTAAAACCATTATAAAATGATTCACAGAGATGGATATCATATCTCTAAACCTACATGAAACCAGGCCTGATTAGAGTTCAGTGGGATTCAGTTTCTTCTCGTTTGTTGTTTTGGCTTCACAAGATGTTTCTTAAAGGAGCGGCAGTGTAAGAAACTCATGAAAGAGGTGGAGAGAGGGCTCTGTATGTGTAGCACATTGTGAGACTACTGAGGACTCATTATTGCTGTGTGCACTCAGCACTGTCAGACCCTGTGTAAGCTGATCTGGGTGGTGGGCAGTGGACAAGCTCAGAGAAACTATGTTAGCAATGTGCTCATTGTAAGGAAAGATTATCTGGCTTATAACTTCTAGAGAAGCATATATAACAATGCATTGCCAATACAGCACTACAGAGGCATTAAAACCCAAGAGAACCTTTTCTTTACACAAAATAGATCAATAAATAGAATATATAACTGTACACGCCATCAGAATTCAGCACTTTTCACTTCAACACAGTTCCCTTTAAAATTATGAAGTAATGTCATCATAAATAAAGACACTACTTTGTAATTCATTAATCAACATAATTTATCCCAAAATGTGGGCACTGGACCCATTTCAATTTAAAAGACATTTAATAAATAACTCTTTGATTAATAAAAGTAGCATGGCTATTTCATAAAAGTGTTATCCCTTTTAGTTAATGGCTTTTAAAGTGTTCAGAAAGTGTCTGCCAAGTGACAACGCTGCAACTACAGTCTAAGGAGGTAGCATGTGTTAATCTAATTATGGCAGTATTTGTATCTTACAGAGTTTGAGACAGGTCAGGTAGATAATTGCATCGAGTCACTGAGAACTTTAATCCAACGTGAGATTTCTTCAATGTGACGTGAGGGTGAAGAGAAACACTCAGCGGGACTTTCACCTGCACAAATCAAAGCCATAGAGATGAACGGCATATCAAACGATGATTTATCTACATCATAACTGAATCCAGCAGGTGATACTTTGAATACAAATGTGCTTTATAAAAATAGCAACACCTGTTTATTTCATTCAAACCGCAAATATTCTCACAGTGAGTCTAACTGTTCCCTGTTTTCAGGTGTTTTATGGTGTGAGCCTTTTCTTGTGGGTTGGGCACTGTATTCTATTACTGTGTTAAGTCCTAATACACTGTGTTAGGCTGGTATCTTGTATCTCTGGATAGCAGACATTAATTTTACAGAGTAATCTGATGCTAGAGAAAGAGCTTTGGCTGAATGCTGAGCAGTTGCTAGCGCTGTACTTCAGTATCATTAATTCTGAATTCTCCAGGGCAATATCTTGAAGCCAAACTAAAAACACTGCATAATATCCACTTCATTTTTTTGTATTCAACCATGAACTTACCTATTTAGCAGTGAGTTCCTTCTTCATACAGGCTTTAAAGGATGTGAATCTCTCTTCACCTTTATATCCCTGGGTAAATGATGATAATACAAAGGATAATATGTTTTACATCATCAATAGAAACATTATCTTGAAAATAGGGAAAATTAAATGAACAGTGCTAGTTGATGAGACTACTAGCATACTAAATGAACAATAAATGGCCACTAGATGTCAGCAAAATTGCACCCACAAGAAGCATTTACTTGGTTGAAAAAGCAATATGAAAGGCAACAATAAAGGGTTTGTTTACAAACGTTTGGGTTCTGTAAGAATTTTTTTAAATGTTTTTGAAAGAAGTCTCTTATGCTCACCAAAGAGCATTTATGTCAAATAGATTTTTTTGTAACAATGTTAAAGTCTTTACTGTCACTTTTGATTAGTTTATTGCGTCCTTGCTAAATAAACATATTAATATATTTTTTAAAAAACGTATTGACTCCAAACATTTGAACAGAAGTGTAATAATATTAATAGTAAAACTATTAACAACCATATAATAATAATGACTAACTTGAATTTAAATTATTTTTAAATGTTTAAAAAAAAAATAACTTTCCTGTCACAAGCCGAAATGTGTTATGATTAACATTAACTTATGATTAGCTACGCTAATTATGTCTCTATTTTTTTCTCTGTTTTTGCCACGGGATTGACATAAGCTTCAGTCTGGATCCAGAACACCTGAGAAGAGATGATGCCATCCCCTCAGAGGACCTCAGATGATGCCAACCCTGAAACAACATATAGAACTACCACATTTTGCTATAAGTTTGATTGCATCATATAATAATTGCTGTTAATAGTGTTCATCGTCTGTTTTATTACGTCTTAAATTGATTTTTCCGTACATTTCTGCCATATGTACATTAACTGACAGTCACCACTGATAAGCTACCACTAAATATTGTAGAAACTTAATTTGCTGTAAAGTTGCTTTGCAATGATTTGTATGTGAAAAGCGCTGTACAAATAAACTTGACTTGACTTGACTTGACTTACAGCACTGAAGTGTGTGTTTAGAAATGCACGCGTTCCAGCTCTTCATGTAACCCAGCTAGCAGGGAATGTTCTCATAACTTTGGCTAACATTCCGTACAGGTTTGGTTGATGTTTTAGAGAAAACATTTCAATGTAATGTTCAAAAAATGTTTTAAGAATGTTTTTCATTTCAGATAATGTTCCTAAAACGTTAAGTATAAACAAAGCTAGAACATTTTACCTGCAACATTTTGAGTATGTTGTTGATGTAACAGATTATATACAGTATATAATGTTCTCAATAAAACATTGGCATAATGTTTCAAGATAATGTAAGGTCCACGCACTTGGCCCAAGGAAGGTATCCAGTGGTGGATGAAGGTTTCTTGCGTGTTCGGTCTTTTCAGCGCGCAGAGTTATTCAATTTAGGTTTAACTCAAATCTGACTCAATTTTAGTATGACCTCGAATTTAGGTTGAAAGGCAAATTGGTTGTTTGTCGGTCTCTAATTATTATTATTACTCTTCTGACATTTGATTATTCTAGTTAACTCTTTACTTATATTTACTCGTTCATTAGGAATCTATGTCGCTTAGGATGCCTCACGGCGGCCAGGTGGAAATGGTGTTGTTACAACTCTCCCCATGTTACAACCATACCCGGTCTCCCCTAATGTGCTCAATAAAACATTGAGACAATGTTTCACGTTAACAAAGAACATTCTCTCAGCCACATTAGGAGAACGTTATAAGAACATCATTGAGGCCAGAGGAGATGGAATATTTTTGTAAAACGTTCTTGTAATGTGAAATATTAACAAAGCTAGAAAATTGTATCTGCAACATTTTAAAGATGTTTTGAGGATGTTGTTGAGGTAACAGATTATATAATGTTCTCAATAAAACACGGGCACAATGTTTCAAGTTAACGAAGGAAGAACATTCTCTCAGCCACATTAGGAGAACATCACTGAGACTTGAGTGTGTAATGTTTTTATAAAATGTTCTTGTAATGTGACAAAGCTATAACATTTGACTTGCAACATTTTAAGGATATTTTGAGGATGTTGTTGAGGTGACAGAATATAATATTCTCAAAACATTGGCACAATGTTTCAAGAGGACAAATGAAAAACATTCTCTTAACCACTGTAGGAGAACTTTATACAGTGCATCCGGAAAGTTTTCACAGCAAGTTACAGCCTTATTCCAAAATGGATAAAATTATTTTTCTCAATTCTACAAACAATACACCATAATGACAATGTGAAAAGTGTTTGAAATCTTTGCAAATTAAAAGTAGAACAAAAATAAATCACATGTGCATAAGTATTCACAGCCTTTGCTCAATACTTTGAAGCACCTTTGGCACAGATTACAGCCTCAAGTCTTTTGGAGTATGATGCTACAAGCTCGGCACACCTATTTTTGGGCAGTTCTTCAAACCTCTCAAGCTCCATCAGGTTGGATGGGGCGTGTTGGTGCACAGCCATTTTCAGATCTCTCCAGAGATGTTCAGTCGGGTTCAAGTCTGGGCCACTCAAGGACATTCACAGAGCCCTCCTTTGTTGTGTGCTTAGCATCGTTGTCCTGTTGGAAGATAAACCGTCGTCCCAGTCTGAGGTCCAGGAGGTCCAGGAGGATGTCTCTGTACATTGCTGCATTCATCTTTCCCTCGATCCTGACTAGTCTCCCAGTTCCTGCCGTTGAAATACATCCCCACAGCATGATGCTGCCACCAGCATGCTTCACTGTAGGGATGGTATTGGGCAGGTGATGAGCGGTGCCTGGTTTCCTCCAGACATAACGCTTGCCAAAGAGTTCAATCTTTGTTTCATCAGACCAGAGAATTTTGTTTCTCATGGTCTGAGAGTCCTTCAGGTGCCTTTTGCGGAGGAGTGG